ATCCTCTTTGCCTTTGTTTTAAACTAAACTTTAAACTTTAAGCTAAATTTAGGCACCACAAGCATGCAACACATTGAAATAAAAAGACTTTTTGGGAAAAAATGTAAACATAATTAAATATAAACATTTAAGATACACAAATGCATGTACAAGTAAAGGAAAAACAATTAATATATATGTAAAAAACAGTCAAATTTAAATTATGTGATAAATATATAGACTAATTTATTGAAACTGACCTGGAAAAATAAATATGAAAGTCAATTAAAGTGTAAAACAGGAGATAAAGTTCTCTAATTGGTGCCTTTAAGTGTATTTATTTAATAGTTAATTTATTCTGCTTTTATTTCTAATTATGTCAGTTTTGGTCCTCCATACTGCAGAAGCCTGATAATCATATATTCATTCAAATCAGGTGTGTTGGGGCAGAGAAACAAGTAAAACATGCAGGGCTGCGGACCTCCAGGACCAGGATTGTCCACCCCTGGTATAAATACTTCTCGTTTGTCCTCACACCCTCACTGGTTCATTGTTTGGTTTCTTCACCAACAGTTATCGTTTCCTTCATCATCTCTTTGTTGTACTTTAAGTTTTTGTTTATTTAGCTGCCCTGCCAGCTTTTTTTTTTTTTTTTTTTTTTTTTTAAAATAAATATTTTTCTTAAAAACTCTTATTTCCGTCTGGATCTGGGTTCATTCCTCGTCCAACCCTAACACTTTACAGACAATATTTTTGTTGGTGTGGGGTAACAGAAAGCTGGTGTCTATCTCCAAATAACGTGTTTATCTTATACTGTAAAACTGCTAACCTTGACTTGTATTTGCATTTGAAATATTGCTTATTTGTATTTAACATGAGCATATGCTCCTGCAAGATTAAGCAAAAAGGCTAAAAGTACGAGTTTTCACAGATTTTTGCAAAAACAAATGTCATAAAATGACCAGAATGAAATATTCTCCTTTTATCTGATAGATGTACTCAGATGCTGTTTAGCACTTTATAATTGGAAAATTGTATGTTTTCTGTGTGTGGTGGTGGTGGTAGTGGGGGGG